CCCCTGAAGTGATAACTTACCAAACTTGGGCTGGCGGTTGAACCGTCCGTCCAGTGGCAGGTCCTGTTGATCAATCCTGTCTAGATGCCAGGGGACCGCTGACTGCTTTTCAAACACCTGGTCTTCTTCAATGTACTCCACGTCCGGCATGGTTCTCATCTAGTTGTAAATACGGGGAAAAGATGACAACTTGAAGATGGCGGATGTACAGAAGGATGCCACTTAGTACAGTTGGGACATTTATTTGACGTGTTTTTAGGCGTTTTTTATCGGACTTTCTTTTTGTACTGATTCCTTTTTTACGACAGCTAATGACATATTGCATACATACATGTACTATTTTTCAGCCTTCAAAAGATCAATAAGCTAGTGCATGGAGGTCACTTCTACCCCCATGGCTAGTGCAAAAGCGTGACATGTCGTTCAGATCATGATACATGTATCTGATTCCTTGGTAAGGTAACATCATGTGTAAAGCCATGCCGGAAGGAAACATTGAAGATATTCCTAGCAAGTTTTTAGCAAACTTTTCGGGGTTTAGAATGTCAGAAATATTTTACTCACGATCGACACGTCGCTAGGCGTCATTTCTGCGACGAATCCCTTGAGGATGTTCATGTTCATGTCTACGGGTTCCATGTGAAACATGTCGATGACGTCAGGGTGGCCGCGCCTGCGCCCCTCGCTCTGTGCCGTGAAGACCGTGGATCTGTACTTCCCCATGACGTGTTGGACCGCGTCACTGCCTGACGTATCCTTCATGACGACGATGTATCTGCGAGTGAAAAAAATAACATTTTTAAAAAATATTTTAGACAAGTCAGAGTTTCAAAACCAAAAGTTTAACTGCGGTACCGTAAGAAGCCAATATCTAATTTCTAGGTCTCATCAAGACCTACTCACCTACCAAAAACAAGTCAATCCATTTAAGCCTTCTCAAGTTTACAGATACTTTCCAAGCAGAGGTTTGGGTTTTGGGGGAATTTTTAGCGTGTTTTTAGGCTTTTTTATCAGGGTTTCTCTTTTGCACTGAATTTTTTTT